TGCGGTAAACGTCTCGCACTCTCCGTATCTTGGGAACATTCTGGTTGAAGATTAAATAACGCTATTTCAGAGAGGAAATGTTAGTGCATTATTGACTGCAAGAATGGCATAGAAATGGCACACAAAACAGTACTAGTTGATTTCGTACACAGAGTTATAATTGCAAAAGAGGAACAAACAGTATCAGTTGCACGTAAATATGATTGTTCCGGACCAATACAAACATTTAATTTGACTGACTTTTATGTGATTTATTAGACATTTTGAACACTTTCGACAATGTGCGTACTTCTATGTGCAATGTATTATGAAATGCATGAGTTATTACATACTCTGTTGGTAGATGCCTTTATTTTTCCATAAGTTTAACCACTGAAATTCTTTACTTATGCCTAGTTCTAAATTTAAACTAAATGAATGAAACGTATTTAACACAGTAATATAGTTTAAAAGGAAAGTAATCAATTCTTTCAATGAATGAAACGCAATGTAACATTTCAGAAATTGCGACTTCCCCAGCTCCATAAATTTTCCCACAGCATGGTTTTAGGCACGTGCGTGAGTGCATTCTGTGGGATGAAGCTTATTTTCAATACATCTTTCTACACTAATAACTTTATTTGCCTTTTATTTTTATTTACTAACATCAAAACAGTTAAAAAAAATGTGTGTGATCTACTGTGGGAAGAAGTACAATCGGTGCGTTTTCTTAAATTCTGTGGTCCCTGCCCTAACTTATTTTCAAGTTGAATTCTGAATTCAGATGGAAATGAACATTTTGGGGAAGAATTGGGAATAACAATTCGCTTCAGAGTAATAAAAACTATTTGTAAAGCCAAATCAGCTATAAATTTAGGCTTGCAAACCAAGTCTAAACGTTATTTTCAGTCTGTTTCATCTCGCGAGCAGGTGTTAGAGGTTCGAGATTCTCCACGGGTGCATTGTTTAGGTCACAGAAAACCCCCTTAGCGGATCTGAATGCTCGCGAATTCTGCATGCTCCTTCGTTCCCTTCTTTAACTCCGCCTCCGCGTGTCGACCCTTCCCCGCACCCCCGCATATCCCAAGAGCCCCCTCCGCTCCGTCTTACCGCGCGGTCCGTAACGAAATTACTCGCCTGCTGTCCACGAGCCGTTTCCGTCGTGCAATAAACACATCGTGCGACCGCGAATGACGACCGGCTCTCCGGCGGGCGACGCGCCGCGACGCGACGCGGGCAGGCGCTTTCGCAGCCCCTTTGATGTCCGCGGGCGGAGCAGGTGAGGTGGAACGTGCGGCTATGAAGTTCCCTTCGACGACTACAACACTCGCCGGCGACGGGGAACAAAAGCGCGCTTTCAGTGGGATATTCGACGTTGCGCAGAAGAAAAGCGCAAGACGCCACAACGTGCGCTTGTAGGCGCGCGCGCACGTGCCAGCGCACAGCGGCCGCTCAGCTCCCGCACGCGCCTTGTTGATGAAACGGAGAGGCGCGCGACCTCGAGTTACAGCGGCTGCGTACGGCGGCCGGATCGGGTTCTAAGGCGCTCCGGCGCGCGAGTGCATAATGAACTGCTCGTGTATATATAAGTTGGCCGCGCCACTGTCTGCACGATGAAGTGGACCACTTTTGATGTCCGCAAATAGCGGTTGTCCCCACGGCGCTTCCGTTCGCGGAGGATCGAGGGACGGGGAAGATGGTGTCCGATGGTCATGGGCGAAATTATGCTCGGGGGCGCCTATATTGATGCCTCTGTTGCAGAGGTCGATGCCTCTGTTTTGAGAGCGAACGTAAACTGATCAGTATAATAGAAGGGATGACTGAACTGATGAGGACTGTGAATTTTTAGGTATAATAGGAAGTATGACTTTATCTTATCTGCAGAGGGTCAATGGCCAAGCTAGAATATTTTTTTTAAAAAAAGAGAGGAAGGATGACTGTAAACTGATGGAGACTGAATTTTTAGATATAGATATTTTTAGATTTTATGATAGAGGGGAGGACTGTGAACTCATCGGGTCTGTGAACGTTTTTTTCGGTATCAATTTTTTAGCATTGATACATTATCATTTCTCGCAAGTAGTCATGAAAAATCTTATAATTCCTGATTTAAGATATTAGGCGCTTCAGAGGCAGAATGTAGAATGTTACTTTCAACGTGTTGTGATAATATGTGTACAAAAATCCAATACTTTTAATCATTTACTAGAGCGGATTCTTGTAAAAAGCGAGTCGAGTGCCAGCAGTATGGCTATAGGCTATTGAAGAGCGATCATGTCAAACATTACCGAAAATACAAAAAATGTTTACGTGAATAGTCCCTACATGAATCCTATCTTTTACTGAATCATCCTCCGAGGGCATCTGTTATACAGAATCACAGAGCGTTATCTTCTCCGTTGATATCAAAAAGGAATCGTAATTCGAACATCCATGAAACGACAGCGAGAAAACATTTGTATTTGAATAAATAATATACATGGCTGATAGGGAAATAAGAGAATTCATTATGTCCAAATGAACTGTAAATTAATAGGGTATATAGTGAATTATTGATATTATTATTAATACTAAATTACCAATAACATCAATAAATCTAATTACACTGTTAAAGTCAAATTTTAATAGGCAATTAATGAAAATAATTTAACCCGACTTGCGTGAATAATTGAGGACGTGACGCTTTTTAGATTTTAATACAATGCCCACACTTTGTTCAATCAGAATCCCACATTGTATAACTGCGTTATGTGACCGCTACAGTATAGCCAATCATGAAGATCTGCGAGTGTTTGTGTGTTTACACTCCTTTCTATTTAATCATTTTGTTAATATTGTTCGTAGATTTTATTCTATTTTACAACATATTACCAGGCTGACAACGTACAACGTCAGAGAATAAAAGCGACGCGACGAGGAATGTCACGAAGGGGCGAGTGTATTTTATAGAATCCCGACAAGTAATTTCCTGTGTTGCGCCATAGGCAACATCAACTGCCGCTTCGAGCCGCGAGGTCGAAGTCATACGTACTAATACGATGAGTAGGGGTGGAGAGGTTATGACGTGCGCATTGACGTTGGACGCATCAGGTAGCAACGCTGGAGAGAAACGCGTGGTGTCAGACCTTCGTACAAGGAAGTTGGAAAGAAAAAGCTCGGAAATTGGGACAGGAAACTTTTCCGCACATTGAAACATTTTCATTACATCCGAGTAGGTAATAGAGTGAGGTAATAGAGTGATTTTTGTGACAATAATTCAGAAATAATAAGTTCACTTGTTAGGATAACTTTTGTAAATTAGTTATGTCAATTGTTTTATGAAGCCATGAAACTATTTTATTGATTAGAGGGGAACTGTAGATAGTTTTCACATTTGATCAAGAGAGAATACACAGCAGCCTAAATATTATTAAGAAAATTATTTATTGTGACTGGAAGTCGAACCTAATGGTTCTGATGCAAGCGATGCCCTACTGGTGAGAAGTCTCTCTTTACACATGGGATTATAACTTTTTTACGTGAATCTGAAAGCTGTGAGATTGATTAGGAATTACAGTCAGAGGAAGAAGATGCGTTAAGTTTGAAGTGGATAGTCTACTGATTTCCTTTTAGGTTTCACAGTTTCTTTTGGTTTTCACTGAAGACATGCGCGAGTAAATTGACGTAACTTGTTTATTATTAGATCTTGGCCTTTATGCTACATTTCTGAACAAATATTTACATTCAATAGATCGAAAAAGGGTAATAAAGCTTTGATGTCCCATGTAAAAAAAGGATCGAAACGTTTACAGCAACGAGTACAAGATATCTTTACAGAGTCCATTCGGAATAGAACCTTCAGTATTCTTATTTACAAAAAAAAAAACGTTTTACAACCAACAAAATAATTTATCATTAACATTGCGATTTATCATAATAAATTCCATTTAAAACAAAATATTCCATTGCATTGTGAGGTATTACATTTTTTCTCTCTAATATCGTTATCAATCTATCCAAAATTTCACGGTTGACTACCTCAAATAGCCTAAAATAACCCTCAAGTAACCCTGCCGACTAGCCCGATATTTCTGCAGAATCCTTATGCAAGAAAAGTCTTGTAATTCATAGCAAACAATCCACATACATTCTTTAATAAGTACTCGAACACGTGGTCGTAAAAATAATGTTCAATTTACTCTCTCTCTCAATATTATTTTAATAACAAGGAGCAAACATTTATATGCCAATTCTTTCGTGTTATTCTACGAACTACAAACCAAGCATTACGAACCACAAACAATCGATGATTAATGAATGTTGGGGTGTATACCTCATGAGTAATCTAATGCGCAAAAATACACACCATCTTCTCGTAACGTTGAACAAATATTTAGGTTTTTTGCTAAAAAACTCTTCGTTATGGCACAGCAATTTCTTGACTATTTATCTTTTTTTTAAAAGACTATTTAAGTTGTCTAAAAGACTAAGTTGAAGCGCTGAGAATATTTCTAAGTATTACCTCAGAAGAAAATTGACTTTTTTAAAGAAGTTACGAAAAAAGAGGTTTATGAAATGATGGAATTGGGATTCAAACTACGACAGCCCTAATTCGTCGTTCCTGCGATCGTGACCGACCTTGTCAGCCGGCCAGATATCCAGTCGGCAAAGGCACAGGTTCAGGTCGCAAGAAACGCGACTGATCTCCTGAGTCTACAAGAGTACTTCAAGTCTTGGAAATGCATACAAAAAACTGGCGCATAAGATTGCGACGAAATTGGAAAATTACAACAACAACAGAAACGTTCTGGGGAATCTTTGCTATTAAGGCGAAAACAGTAAAGAAATTAAACTATATTGGTAAAATTATGAGGAGTACGGTGGGTATTTTTTCGCATGAAACGCCTGTCATGAAATGTATTTTCCTGTAAGCGTTGTGTTATTCCAAACTTTTGCTTTCAATACAAGGTTTAAAAGGAATCCTTCTAAAGTTCTATTTGCATTATTTCTCGGTTACCTTTAAAATTTATGCCGTTTTTATGAGTATTAACATTCAATTAGAACGTAACTCTCGTCGCAAAATTACAAAGACAACTAGTTTTATTATGCTGACCCATAAAGAAATATTATTCATTTATTTACGGGAATATCCCGAACAAAATAATATATAATTTTACCGGTATAGTTTAATTCCTTTATATACAGAGGTGAATATTCATGAGCGAGTCTCCTGAATGATGAATATATTAGTGTAAAACTTTTATCACCTGTTTCACTCCCCAAATATTTTAATAATTAGAAATATTTATCAAATCTAAGATTATTGCATAAATGTTTACGATTTAAAAATCGACTTAAAATATTCATAAATATGCCACGAAAAATAAATGTGTCGTTATGGTTACCGAATTTTTGAAAAAAGTTTTTGTGGCACAGTCTACGTGTTGTCGAGTTGCTTAGTATAAATGAGGACTGTGGTGAGAATCTATAAAGAATAAACTGGTGGGAAAACTCGGGGTTTATTTGAAGCAACCCAAATAAAGTAATATTCCTGTGCGTACGCACAGGCTAAACAATCTGGGGAATATAAAGAAAACATTTCAGACTTTATGTGAGGTTTCTAGTCTTGAGAGTCTTAACAGCACCTTCATGCCACAATGTGTAAACATATCTAAAGTGATTACGAGTGTAATGATTGATTCAGGCTGCATCAACTAGTGAGGTCATTAGTGCCGTATGTATGGCACATGTTACTACCGGGAAGTGGCGGTGTTCCTGCTCCCACTAGAACGTGAGATCCGGCGCCGACTTTCTCTTCGGCTTTGGAGTTTCCAACCACCAGGCATCTCCTGCCGGCGGGGCACCGCTTATGCCAGGACACCACTCCACTGGACTCCCATCTTCCCATCTTTTGAAAGCTCCCGCCTGGTCTCCGAACATGCGTGGTAATGCAGCGCATGTAAATACAAGGGTGTGTGTAAAGGAGAGGATAAAGGGGCAAGAGATAAGGAAGGAAAGACCGCGCTCGGTCCGAGGGCCGTTTTTGAGGGTGCTGATCGAGCATTTGCCTGCTATTATTGATAGGAGAAACCACGGACAACCACCGATCAGAGCAGCCGACCGCTAGAAGTTTTCCGACAGATGGTTAAATTGAACCCAGCTATGCAGCTAGTGTCGAAATCCTACCACCGGCGGAATTCAAACCCTAGGACCTCCCAGCCAACGCAGAGGAGGCAAAAATTCTGCTGCTGAGCCCTTGCAGGAGGTCCAGCTGTCTAAAGACGGCTCCACACATTCGGCATTCGCCGATCAGCGAGCTACTGTTCGAACTATCCCGAACAGCTGATGTGTTGGGCGAATGCTCGCTCCCTTTGATGTGTCCCACACACGGTGGGTAGGTCGAGCACCTCATGTTCGTCGCGCGGCAAATCGCAAGCACCCCATCCACACTACGCGGGATTCGGCGAACGCTTGCTCGATTACCGAATGTGTGGAACCGCCTTGACGCGAGAGGGCTCGG